TTCCAAGGCTGGATAAAGTCAGGTGATACTAAATACTTATACCCAGTAATAGTTAGTTATTTTGTACTAATTAAATATGATAAGGAATCATGGAATTTTGTTACGCAGAAATACTCGACTGAAGGCAGAATTTTTTTCCTCAAAATGTTAACATTTAGTAGCAGAAATTTCCATAGATAAACAGTTCTGGCAAAAGAAGTTTTCAGACCAGCCTTCAGCTTCAGGTTGCAATATTTATCTGTTAGGCTGTAAGTTAAAATATGAATATGAACATATGAAAATATGAATAGCAACTATAAAAGTCAAATATTTTTTGAGTTGACAGAGGCAGATAACTTGCACACCACAAGCATTAAAAGAGCTTACTGGATAACTCTCTGAACCATTAATGTTGAATTTAAATAAACCATAGAACAATGAACTAGTTCCAGAGTAACAAAACAGATTCAATGTACTAAAAATTTACAAGAGTAAATGTATTGCCATAAGCTCAGCTGGCAAGCTGATATTAGTCTCAGGCTAAAACTTCAAAAGGCTGACCTGAAATTCAATCAACAAATATTTTAAGAGTCATTTTTACTATGCTTCCAATGAATCTTAGTCATGAACCTCATCTCAAACAATTATATAGTTTATTTGAAAATATTCAGTTTGCTCGATACAGATCACTTTACTAACACAGTATTAGCCATTGCTTTTGTGTGGAATTTGATTCAGCTCTACACAATTCTCTGCTAAAAGTACCCTATACATAAATAAATGTACCCTATGTTAAGCTATATTATAAACTGTTTAAGTGTGTATGAGGAAGGAAACGTAAAGGAGAAATCATCCTTGTATAATGATAAATCCAGTGAGGTTCATGCTGTCTGGGGTTTCTCTTGACCCAGTGCTATTTGGTATTTCTATTAATGCAGCAAGAGGCACTGCTGGACACTTCCCCCCACTTGCAAACTGGCTGCGGGACTCCCGGGAGGGCACAATCGCAACGGTGTGTTCAGGGTGTAGCCATAGCTAAGAAAGGGACCTGCTGCATGAGTTTTGATAGGATATGCAAGGCTGGACAAATCAGTGTAACTCATAATTTACTAAGACTTCTATTAAACTCATTCAGGAAATAAAAATATTTTGAAATGCAGTCATTTCACATGACCAGAAAATATATCTCCCTCTTATATTCACTTACCACAACTATGCCCTATTCTGAACTCCACCTGCTGTTAAATTGTATACAATACTATCCTCTGATATTAACCCTCGTCCTCAAGCCCTTCTGGGTTTACTCAAACAGTCAATGTCCTACTAACTTCTTTCTTCAAGGAATTCTTATGTAGGCTTTTAGCCGTCCCTGCTATTGCATTAGTTTATCCTAAGTGGCGTGTTTCTGTACATGGGGGTGTGGGTCTCTCTATATATTTATATATGAGATCAGACATACTTCCAAGGACTAAAAAAGCAACCCCCCCCCAATAAATACAAAGATGTTTTCTTTTCAGTTCTTGCTTGCACTGAGTTTTCAAACTGATCACTTACTTCGCTCTGAAGGAGTGAGATAAAGCCTAGATCACTTGGATGCAGATCCTGAGTCAAGAGTACACCTACCTTAGGAATTACAATCCTAAAGGCTTCCAAGTTGTATGTGCTTCAGTTTACCATATTCAAATAACACATGGGTGCCTTTAATAATAGAAAGTGACTTTCTACAAGTGATAAAACGAAGTCTGAGACAAATCAGTGTAGCTAGGAAAGATGAAGAGGCCTTGTCTGAGTACAGAGTTTGGACGATGGAGGGCTTGAGTTCTTTTACTAATTCACTGATGTGGTTTTTGACAAATCCTCTCTTTGCTTCAGTTTTCTTGAGTATAACACTTAATTACTCTTGAGAATATTGAGAATTCATTAGCTGATGTTCTGTAAAATGCCTGTACTACACACATCATCTGATTTTTACAGTGTGTCTAGTCAGTGCTCTGCATTTTACTCCTGACAAGTTACTGGTAACAATAATAATTTTTTATTTTTTTGTCATAGAGTTGGGGTCTGGAGATTGCGGCCTTAAACAGATGAACTGAAGTTTGACCCCAGAATTGAAAGACGGAAGAAGGCAACTGTTAGAATCAATATGCAATGTCAATAAAGTGCTGAAATTATTAAAACATCCTCTATAAAATATATATATATATATACACACACACACATAAACACACACACATACATATTTATATCAGTAAAGGCTACAGCATATGTCAGTAGTGGATCAAATATCAGAAGTAATTTTTAATAAGTGAGACTCAGAGAGGGATTTAAGGAGCTCAGGGGATTTAGAGATGAGACTTCAGTTCAGGGAATTCCACAGCTCAGGGACATAACAGGTGAATGCTCTGCTACCCATGGATAAGAGACCTGACAAGGGGGCTGATGAATTTGAGATTTATTATTAGAAAGTAGGGACTGAGGGCATGTGTAAATGGAGACCAATTCTGATAGGTACGAATGGGAACTTTCCAATAGGTAATGAAAAACTCAGAACAAAATTTTAAAGTCAATGCATTGACTGATAGGAAGCCAGTATAAATCTGTCATAGCTGAAGTAAAGTGATTGAATTTATTGCCATGAGTAAACGCATGGGATGCAGCATGCTGAACAATGGAGTCATTTGTGAATATTTTTCCATATAGTGTCTGCCTATTAGTGTAATCTAAGAGCTATAGAGATAGGCTTCAGAGCAGGGTAAGCAATATGAACAGTAGCAGTAATACTTGTGTTACACCTGAGAAGTGGAAACATCACCTAAGTGACTGCTTTTGAGAAAAGCTTTTAAGAAGTTAACAGTAAATGAACTAGGAAACCAAAGAAGAATGCAAAGCTGAAAGTCTTGGAGGATTCATCAGATGCACACAACTGCCACCCGATGGGAAAACAGAGAACATGACAAACAGCACATAAATAAAAGGCAGATGAAAAGTGGGAGGGTGAATTTGGGAATTTGATTTCAGAACAAAAAAGTGTCTTATGTATCCATCATAAGTAAGACTCATAAGAGCCTGCTAGCTCTTTCGTGTGTGTGAATGTGCGTGTTTTTTCCCCTTCCCTCCACCTCCCTTCCTCTCTTGCTTTTTCTTTCAGAAATAGACAGCCTACAGTCTGAAGAGAAGCTTAGAGAGAAATCTATGCCTTTTTGTCATACATGATGAACTGAATAATCTCACGAGAAAGAGTTTAAGCATCGTAGGGGCCTGTGAAGAACATGGATATGGATCCTCTAAGAAAGATTTTTGTATACTGTAATAGGTAAGAACCTGACCACATGGGTCAGGACTGGAACTGTGTATTGCTTAGAAATGATGTTGACAGTCATTACTCTTTCTGAATAGTCACTCAGAAAATACTTATCTAAAGCTCTGATTTATATTATAATAAGTTCTTATGTGTTTTCTTCCCGTTATTGTTGGCTTTATTCTTGTATGTTGTGCATATCTTAGAGAAGTAGGCATTGAATGATGATTTTCTGCCTCTGGACAGAATTCTCTATTGGAGAGTTACATCTGCCTGAAATTACTATCATCTCCTCTTCTTAAACCTTTTTGTGACAGGTTTCTGACCGAGGCATTGAGCACTTTAAAGTCATGAGACAGTTGTATTTGTGAATAACTTGTATATATGATACAAAGAATATAAGGTGCTTTATCTATGAAGCCTTATGTATTAATACAATGTTAGAGTATTTTAATATCAACATCTAAAGAATTTTTAGTATTATAGCTTGGTGAACCTGGCATTTCATGACCCGGATTCATAATCTAGTGTCCCATATTATATGGAAATTTTTGCCTTTTCTCGATCAGATTGAGAAGGGAATGACTAGATGTCTGTGACTGTCTGCATTTGCAGGGGACAAACACCAAGTTGCATTTGGTTAAAATTCTATTACTCTAGTATCCTAAAGACATAATTTTTGCATCTTTTGGTTTTAGTGGCCTAAACTAGAGATAGCAGGGATGGGATACCTTGAATAGCTGATCTGTTTGGTCATAGAGGGGATAATTGAGAGTACAACTTTCTTACTGTGTATATACTGGAATACATAGTAAAATAGTTTTAGGAAAGTCATTGTGTTCCTTTTCAATACCTACTAAGGATGGACAATAGCCCCTAAAGATGCCCTGGCTGGCATTTCCTTTCCATTAGCATCATGTCCTTTTGGATGAAGATATTAGGCTGGTAGAAAGGCAACTTTACATCTTTTATTTCTTTCTTTAGGTTAAGATGTATTAGGTTTTGATATCATTTTACTGCCCTGATTTAACCCAATAGGGACACACAAAACACTGACAACTTTGCCAGGCATTTTAGATCTCTCAGTGGCTTTATAACCCTTTTAGGTAAAAGGCTTTTTATTTACTTGTTTATTTTTCTTATGTTCCAAAGGTAAGATAAGCTTTTATGCAAGATCATTCTGTCCTTTCTTTCTGTTTACAGGAAAATGAGAGAGCATTGCTAAATGAGGTAAGAGAGCCTCTAAGTGCCCTGAGTATAAATCTAGGACTTTGTTTTGTTTTTATTACAACAAGAAAAATGCTTATGAACAGTTCTTATGAACGTATTTAGACACTGATATCAGAGGAAGCTGGAAGTCTATATACCTTCGAGAAACTAGGTCTCAATCACTTGTTTGCTTTCTATTTCTACAATATCAGGAGAAACAAGCAGCTTCCAACAATATTTTGACTTCTTTGGTCATTTTTGATGACTGTTGGCTGGAGCAGACATTATTGCATCTTGGAAGTTTAATGTCTACTGTTACTTGCCAAAATGTTGCTTTTGATAATGGGCATTAAATTTCCATTCTTTATTTTCTAAGTTTTCTAATTTTCCTCAATAGACTTGAGAGAATACTTTGATGTCTTAGATGGGTGAAGCTTAACGGTCCCTTTTGGAACATGTAGAGAGGCTTTGTCCCACTATTGGAAAATACGGAGTTCATTTGGATGTTGCTATTAAAGGCCATGTTTAGAATCCTGACTATTTGTGGAACTCCAGCAGATGGTGTGAAAAGCGTCTTTTCTATGTTCTGGAAAATATACAATGAAGAGGCTGCTGGACTATAGCAGAGACCGGCAAATTCACAGATGACTTGAGATGATGAGTAGGAAGCAAGTGTTTGCCATCTCTTGCAGTATGATAACATGGGGACACCAAATTAAGTCATCAGATACCTAGTTCCAAACAAACAGCAGGAGATGCTTATAACACTGTCCATGATCATACCGTGAAAATTTGGGTAGATTTTGCTGTGCATTTGTTTTGTTCGAGTATTCTCTGGATACCTCCCCTTGGTCCATCCTGAGGCAGAATACTAAACTCTATGGGCCTGAGGTAAGGTTTGATTAAGTAAGCACCTATTATTATGATTTATTTGGACTTTATGTGTTTCTGTCATCATTTATTCTCCAGGTGTATGTCACAACTGTAACCTTTGCTTACCCTTCTCATTCAGTCAGGAAGCAGCAACTACTTCCCTTGACAATTACTGCTTTGCATTAGAGCAGAGAAGCACCCAGACACCGGAAACATCATCTAAGGAGCAGCAGCATGATGACAAAGGACAAAACATACAATACATTGAATAAACATATATACTTTTTTCTTTTTTCACTGTCTTTATTATTATTAAAACATTTTTTGGCTAAAACTCATAGGTTTAGGGTAAAAGGGGTGGTCAAAGGGAACAGCCTGAGAGTCTGTTGAGCAAAAGTGATGCACGGCTGCCTTGCATTCAAGATATGTATTAAGTGGGTTAATATTTAAAAAAAGGGGCGGGAAGGGCCGGGAGTAGGAGGGCGAGACATGCCAGCCGATGCACTGCAGAAGCAGCGCGGCGCGGGCGCGGGGGGCGGCTGCCCCCTCGCGGGCGGTTTTTTTAAGAGGGAGAATATAATTATAAGTCCTTTAAGGGTGCCTTTTTGCATCATTTCGGGGACTGTGTATGTGGGTGTATATCTATGCCTGTCTGCGTGTGTGTGTATTTATATTTGAAACATGCAAGTAGCTGATACAAAGTGAGTAGCACAGTGTGCATCAGTTGTTTGGGCTATAGCACACAGAACAGGCACAATGAGGAGTTACATACATAGCTGTTTCTTGTGTCATTCAAAGTGTGCAATCACATTGATTTTACAATTCAGTATGCTATGTGATCACTCAGGTAACTAATTAAGGTTTGAATTCAGATTTTGCACAGCCCGGCAGTGAAGCTTAAATGCAAGTGTTTCTTAAAGTGCTCAGTACAAGGGTTAAGTGATCAATTATTTTCACATTTTAGCAATATCTTCTGAACTTTTTTTTTTCTGTACTCTTTTACACTATGGGCCCATAGTGATAGTTGCCTATCAGTGCTATCTATGACCTTCAAAAAGAAGTGAAATAATTATATTTCTGTTTTTTTTAAGAGGTAGGATTATAGAAAGTCTTCTATGGAAGATTTGAACAAAAGTAGATACTTTCAGTAGGATGAACATTCATCTACCTATTACAGCCATTAGAGTAATGCAATAATTTTCAAAAAAGTCAATCAAAATATTACTTTTCTGATAAAACTGGAAAAAGCTGAGTTAGAGAAAGTATTAGTCTAGATTCAGGTATCTTTTCTTTTAAAGAAATATTTAGCGGTCATTATCGGGTTAAGAAATAGAATTGACTGTAGATGTGTACAGAGTGAGAGTTAAGAGAAGTTATTGGATATGTTGGCATTTCTAGATTAGGGTTCCTAGCTTGTGACAATACAGTACTTTAACTACGGTCATACCTGCAGTGGATTGCCGCCAACTACATTTTCATCTGACCTGGTAGCTATGTCTGCTGCCAGGATTAAAGCAGCTGCTAGGCAGTTTAAATAGTACAGAACAGGACCCATGCATCTTAAAAGGATATCAAATGATAGCTTACTGGAAAAGATTTCTCTCCCACCTGATTGATTCACTGTTCCCTCTGCCTTTCCTGAGGCTCCTTTGCTCCTCTAAGAAGTTCATCATTATTCTTTGAACAATCATTTCTTCAAATAAATAAAATATTAGGGAAGCCACTGCAAGCAAAAATGTAACTGTGCATTGTACTCGTTCCTTTTGTTGTCTGACTTAAAGGGGGTTTAGTGAGAGCTACATCTTTCCAATTAGCATACAGTAGGAAGGATTTTCTCAAATAAGACATGGTTCTGTGGTGACACAGAGCTGGCCAACTAAGTAAGGCACTGTTATAATTAAAGTGGAAAAGCAAATCCATTTTATGAAGGTTTGAAGTTTATTTCATTTTGCAGTAAAATGAATGTGAGACTAGGTTTTCACACAGGAAGAAAGACTTCACACTGTCTACTACTGAGTATTTAAAGCATTGAAAGAGGATGGCTGAACTAGATTCTTTGCTTTGCCTCTTTTGGAGCAGAAGGTTTTTTATTAATTTTTGTCCATTCTAATTCAAGCAATTGTTATTGTGGATCTGACAGATTGTCTCCACAACCTGCCCTCTCCTAGCTCTCCATCCAAGCTTTCTGTGCATAAGAGTTCTTCCTAGCAAATGTTTAACTGAAATTGATTCATTTGCAAAAAACATTTAGCTTCAGCAAAATTATATTCTTCCTAGCTAAAAAAAAAAAAAAGACTGATTGTAATTAATCACATTCCATACATAGTCTTTGAGAAAAAAGCATATAGGATCACACTGGTAAATGAGAGACTGAGTTTACTCAAAATTTTTTATTATTTTGCCTAGAATAGTAGTAATTCTCATTTATGTTAGAAAAACATAGCACACATCCAGACCCTAGACATTATGTATGTCTCTGTAGATAGTAGTTACATAAAATGATCAATATTAAAGATTCAGTGAAAGCGGATTGCGTGCGCAGCATGATTAGTTTGCTCAGGTGACCAGCCCTCAGATAAGCCAATTGATGTGCTTATTCTCAACTTCTCCAAAACATACATGCCACTTACTTATTATAGCTCACCCTCATTTAATTGACAGTAGTCTTTTAGCCAAGAATTATAAGTAGCTGTTCCAGTGTAAATTCTCTTGTGCTAGGGTAAGTTTTACCCATGAAAGATCCCTGGCAAGAGATTTTAGCGAGGAAAAAGGTTATGCTGATGCTTAACACTTTGAAAAAATCTAAGCCATTGGTTTTAATGACTGACCTTTTAGTCCACAGTTTTGTTTCAGGGGACTATATCTTTTTTCCCTACTAGATACAGATCTTGTTATAGTCACCCCAGTAATGTTGTCTCAGTACAAAATTGGCAAGGCACATGTCAGTATGCGAAGACCATTCCAAAACTGCACTTCTACGTACCATATAATGTGATTGGGGCATTTTTGAGCTGGAGCCTAATAAGGTGGGTCTTTAATAAGTGAATTAGGTTAACTAGCCTATAGGGAAGACAGAAATGAATTAAGCAGGAAGAAGTGCACGTGCTTCTTAAGCTGCCAGGGCTAACAGGCTCTCATGGGTTAGTCTAGATGGTCATGGATCTGCCCCAATGGTGGGCTTGTCCTGCCGCCACGCAGGAAAAAAGTCAACAAGGGCTGACACTGTGTGCTCCTGAGCCCCATGTTAAGACTTCCCAGGGAGCCTGTGAGCTGGCCCTGTCTTGCAACATCAGAAGCATCTCAGGGGTTTTAGTTCTCTCCTTGCTGTTTTCTGCAGCATCTCTTCCACTGCCTAGTCTGTGTTAGATCTTAAATCCTGAATGCCTATTTCTTCTTCCATCTACTTTTCTGGAAGAAGCAGAAGGTAGTTTCTCTTTCCTGTGTAGAAGTCAGGAGCAACTTGAAAAGAAGTAATCTTTCCTGTTGTTTCAGCTTTACCTTTTCTAAATACTTCTTCCATATGTAATTTCTCATGGTGGCAAAATGACCATCTCAGGTGGTCGTTTATCAATAGTACTTTTTCCTTGCTCTTTTTGTGGGTGTAACATTCATAACGATATAACATACGCTGTTATATAGTCAGGTAGTCTCCTTCTAAAGTTTCTATTGAATTCAATATTTAAAAATTATTCTGTGTTCTAGCTTCAAAGCTGCCAGTTTTATGGTGCCAAATGAAAGTTTGAATTTTGCAACACTGACACAAGTTTCTGCCTGTTTGCAGAGTGTATGTTGCCTAACCTTGATTTTTAAAATATGCTTAAGATCATATTTATTAGCAAAACTTTTAAGCACACTATAATCAATTTGCAGTCCATTATCTGTTCCCACCCCAGCTGAGATCTGCTCTGATTTACCAGATCTACCCCAGCTGATATATATATCAGTGCTATACATGACCTTACATGCTAGAGGTTTGTATGTTGTAATGCTTCATCTTTTAGATAGCAAGGAGAATAATCTCAAACTTTTACCTACCTTCTCCAAGAAATCTAAGTGGATCTTACTGATCTAAAAATGCCTTTGAGCCTGTTCACATATGCACCATCACTTTTTCCTATTGTCATTTTTTTTATTAGTACTAACTTGGCATTTGCTTGTTTTATAGTTTTTTCTGTGCCTTTCTTTAGTTGTACGTTCTTTTAAAATACTTTTAATAACTTCCTTGGCTCCTGTTTTTCTTCAGTTACATCTCTTTCAATGAACTGTAGAGTCTGCCATATTTTCAGTCTTGGGAGAGATACTGTTCCACGAAACAATGCAAACTGTTCTTTTTTTTTAAATTCTTTTTTAAAGCCTTTTGTTTTACATTTCGCTCATGTTCATTCACAATAGGAATATCTTCCCCACTGAACAATCTAAGTTCAATAAGTTTTATCTCTGTGTTCAGCATGACTTTTTTTTTTTCTCAAAACCATTTAATAGAGTACTAGAGATCATATTAACTTGTGCTTCAGTTTCTAAATTATTAGTGTTAAAGCTTCTTTGAATATTCAAAGTACTCAGCCTCTGAATGTGGCTTTCGCTTGAACAGTTCCAACAAAAAAAATTTCATTCTTTGTTCACTGTGTATGCATATGTTTTTTTCTCTTTAGCTACTTTTGGACCTTTGACTGCAGGCTTTTTGTAAAATGTTTTCCCTATTTGAAGTGCAATGATTCTGTCCAAGCATGGAATACTGCTAAGGGTTTATTTCTTCTTCCAGACTGTTAGCACCCTTTCATGCTATTCTATATAAACTCACTCCAATAGTATATTGCAGGTATTTCTTCTTAGCCTTCAGCTCTGTTTTCATGTTCCTTACAACCTGATATTTACCAGCCTGGGCCACTGGGGCATTGTCTTGTCTTCTGTCCAAAAATTACCATTTGATTTGTTTTCATTCCACTCTTTCTGATACAATCCTCTTTCTTTTTTTTCCTTTAATAATTCTTAGTTAAGACCTCCTAGAAATCAAGACCTGAGAAAAAGACTGCTAATGCCAGTACTATTTGTCTTCAGATTAATGATTTCATAAGCCTTCTAATTCAATAGGACTTAAACTAGATTTCAAATCTGTTGTAGAGGCTTCAGAAGTTTCTTGCTCTCTTGAGTTCTCAGATGAAATTGTTCTCTTTCAAAAATAATTATTTATGAGGAGCAGTGTTTTCAAATCTTGATATGCTAAACTGATAACTGTTTTCCTTTATTTAATGGTAGGTTACTAAACAG